GGGGAGGGGCGAGAGAGGCTCACCGCTGGCTGAGGCCCCTGCGACGGCGGCTCGTCGCTGCTGCCGCCGCCGTCGGCCGACCCTCCCGCCGCCGTCGCCCCCTCCGCCCCCCGCTTGCCCGAGGGCGGGGGCGGCCACTTGAAGCTCGCTCCGACCAGCTCGACGCTCGGCGCGCCTGCCTCGGCGCCGCCGCGGAAGTAGCCGTCCAGCGTCAGCGGCGGACGGCTCGAGCCGCCGCTGCCGCTGCTGCTGCTCCCGCTGCCGCTGCCCGTGTCGGTCCCGCCGCCGCCGCCCCCGCCGAGCAGCGCGGTGTGCGCCTCCTCGAGCGGCGACGAGGGGGCCGCCCGGACCGGCGGGGGGGCGGCGGAGAGGCGCAGAGCTGCGGCGGCGGCGGGGGGCGGGCGGAGGGCTGGCGGCTGCTCGAGGGGAGCGTCGAGGGGGAGGGGAGCGAGCTCTTCGGCAGAGAGAAACTTTGTGAGCCGGCGGAAGGAGACGGAGAGGTCGATGACGCGCGTGATCTGGTTGGGCAGCGAGTTGAGCGGGAAGCGCCTAGACACTTCCGAGACCCTTCCGAGACCCTTCCGAGACACTTCCGAGACTCGCGAGTCGAGGGTGAGGCGCATGAGCGTGAAGAGGGTGAGCGAGGTGAAAGCCTTTGGCGCGGTGAGCGGGTCTGGCGAGACGGCGGCAAACAGCGCGAAGGTGGCGACGGTGACGAAGATCGGGGCGGCGCCCCAGAGGAAGGTGGAGAGGGTGCCGAAGAGGGCGCCACGAGTCAGGGCGGACAGCTCCACCGCTCGCTTGGCGCGCACCTGCGCCTCAGCGGAGGCGCTCAGATTCGTCAACGGGGGGGGGGGGCAGCTCATCGACCGGCCTGGCGCGCGCGCGCCTCGGCGAGGGTGGGAGGCTCCCACGCAAACAGCTTGAGCATCCGCACGCCCTGCAGCACCTGGGAGAGGAGCGAGACGCGGCCGTCAGCGATTCGCCGAGGTCAGCCGAGATCAGTCGAGATTGCCCGAGATGAGGCGCAGCTCGCCTCGGAGATGAGCGAGACGCGGCCGTCCCTCGCGCGCATGATGCGCTTGGTGAAGACGGCCTGAAGCCGTGCCCGCCCAAGTTAGCCGAGGCTACCCCCGAGGCTACAGGTTGCTCGAGGTTGCCCGAAGTTGCCCGAGGTTGCCCGAGGTTGCCCGAGAACACGCACTGTGTGGGGTCGGCGTGCTACCTGCCCACCACACGCTCATGGCAGCTACTAGTGAGACGTTGGCACATGGCCTCTATGAGCCCGCCTGCTTCTTCCCCACCCACACGTTCAGAGGCAGCATCGCAACCATGATGCCGAGCCCCGCAAAGGCGGCCGGTCCGAGCACCGAGTAAAGCATGCTCGTCGCGATGCCGAGCTGCAGCAGGCAGCTCCAGATGCCGTGCAGGTACGGCACCTGGGAGGGGGGGGGGGGGTCAGGGGCTCGAGTCGCGCGGCTCCGGCTTTGCGTGCAAACGCGGCGCCGCGTCGGCGATCTTTGCGGCATCGATCTGCATGTACGACACGATCGGCCCGACGCCGAAGCAGGCGCGCTGTTCGGCAGTCATGCGCAGCGCCTTGTCGTACACAACCTGCCCGAAGGGAACCTCGGAGGTGCCTCGGAGGTGCCTCGGAGGTGCCTCGGAGGTGTCTCGGAGGTGTCTCGGAGGTGCCTCAGAGGTGCCTTGGAGGTGCCTCGGAGGTGCCTTGGAGGTGTCTAGGAGGTGTCTCGGAGGTGCCTCGGAGGTGCCTTGGAGGTGTCTAGGAGGTGTCTCGGAGGTGCCTCGGAGGTGCCTCGGGAGTGACCAGCCGTAGGGCGCACACACACCTGCCCGATGGCGGCGCGCACGCGCAGGCCGAGCCGGAATCCGCGGAAGAAGTACTGGCCGAGGGCGAGAGACTGCACCTCGGCGGCGAGGAACATGGCGGCGGCGCAGCCGAAGGCGCCTCCGCGTGACAAGCCCGCCTGCGCCGGTCGCCGTTGAGGAGATCTTGGCCGAGATCTGGCCAAGATCTGGCCGAGATCTACCCGCGATCTACCCGAGATCTACCCGAGATCTGGCCTGTGACGCGTCGCCGTTGATGTAGCCGACAATGACGTTGATGAGCGCGGGGTTGACGAAGATGAACACGTCGTTGACCAGCTTGTAGCCCGCCGACGCCCAAAAGTAGCGCCCGAAGGCCCCGTGCGCTGCGCCGAAGAAGGAGGCGTCCAGCCCTCCCCTCCGCGCCACCTCGCCCTCCCACGCCGCGTGCAGCAGGCCCGCGTTGTGCGCGGCGCTGTCCTCTTGCGACAGGGCAGGCACGTCCTCCGCCTATCCGAGAGATGAGGAGATGCGGGGAGATGTGGGGAGATGTGGGCGACAGGGCAAGCACGTCCTTCGCCTCCAAGGGCCGCCTCCGGCCGGCGGCGAGGAGAGAGCCGACCCAGTTGAAGGTGAGAAGCGAGGCGATGCTTGCCTACGCGGTGGGCTCGGAGACGGCTCAGCGGGAGGGGCAGGGGCAGGGCTTGGAGGAGGAGGGGTGCTGCTCGCCCTCTCCTCGCCGCTCTGCCGGGGAGGGGCCGCCGGCTCGCCAGCCTCCGGGACGGAGGGGAGGGGCGGAGCTGCGCGGCGGGCGCGCGCCGGCGACGCGCCGACAGCGCGAGCGGGAGAGCCGCAGCGCTGCTCGTCGTCGTCGGCGGCGTGGCGGGTGGGTGCGAGGGCGGAGGCGGAGTCCGAGTCTGGCTCGAAGAGGGAGAGGCCGCCGGCGAGCAGGGCGGGGAGGAAGGAGGCGGCGGAGAGGAGGAGGCGCGGCGAGGAGCGGCCTTGGCCGAGCGCGACCAGCGCCGCCTCGAAGCGGAGCGCGGCGATCAGCGCCGCGGCGATGCACCAGTACCGCACAGAGCGGCCCGCCCCGCGCCCAGCCTTCCTCTCCGCGAGCGAGAGAGCAGACAGGGCGAGCCAAGACACAAAGCCGGCCGCGTGGCAACTCATCTCGAACCGCACGGTCTCGCCGCCGCCGCCGCCTCCGCCTCCGCCTCCTCCGCCGCCGTCGTACGAGTACGCGTACGAGTAGCCAGAGGAGAACTCGACCTCGAGAGAGACCGGTGCGTCGCCGCCCGAGAGCCAGCTGCCGCCGCCGGGAAGCGTGCCGTTTGTCCCGCCCGAAGAGGAGTCGTCGGCGTGGAGCGCCGTGAGGACGACCATCGCCGCGTGGTAGCCAGCCATGCAGAGTCCGCACACGAGGTGGATCCACTGCAGCACAGCGTTCCGTCGCTCGATGCCGCTCTCTGCCGGCGGCGCCCTCGTCGCCAGGGAAGGCAGGCGGACCCACCCGACGATGAACGCGAGGATCAAGAGCGGCAGAAGTGCGGCGTCGAGCCAGATCCGGCTGATCGCCTCGTGGGCGAGTGGGGACCACATCGCTCGGCGATCGGCACGGAGGAGCGCTTGTCGGCAGGCGAGTAGAGACCACGCCTGTCTCGCCAGGCTTGTCGGTGAACTCAGTGAACACTCGCAGACAAAAAAAATGCCTTTAATTCTTTTCCTCGCGATGTCCACCCCGTCGCGCCGCCGCTCGCGCCGCCTCGCCTCCGCCTCCTCCGCCCCCTCGCCAGACACGCCGCCGCCCGCCCGCCTCCTCGACCTCCCCACGGAGCTCCTCTCGCGCGCCCTCTCTCGCTGCGACCCCGCCGACATCGCTCGCGTCGCGGCCGTCTCGCTGCTCTTCCACGCCTCGCTTGCGCTGGAGGGCATCCGCTTGTGGGCGCGAGAGCGCGGCTTCGAGCTGCCGGCGCAGCCAGAATACGAGAGCTGCGCCGTGCGGTGGCTGTGCTATTCTGCGCTGCTGCGCGAGTCCAACCCGCCGGCGAGGGCTGCGGCAGGCGAGTCTCACAGCCTCTTCATCGACAGCGAGGGGCGGCTCTCGTCGTGCGGAAAGGCTGAGATCTGGACGCCGGGACTGCTCGGCCACGGCGAGGGCGTGACGCGGCTGAACATGCCGACACGCCTCCCTTCTTCCCCGCTGGGCGGCGAGCGCGCCATGAGTGTGACGGCGGGAGCCACGCACAGCCTCGCCCTCGCCGCCGACGGTGCCGTCTGGAGCTGGGGCTATGGAGGTCGTGGCATGCTGGGCCACGGCGACGAGCAGAACCAGCTGCTGCCCAAGGAGGTCGAGGCCTTTGCTGGCCAGCGCGTCGTCGCTGTGTCGGCTGGAGGCGGGCACAGCCTCGCCCGCACCGCCGACGGAGCCGTCTGGAGCTGGGGCTGGGGATACTTTGGCCAGTTGGGCCACGGTCACTCGCAGACCCAGCCCAAGAAGGTCGAGGCCTTAGCTGACCAGCGGGCCATCGCTGTGTCGGCTGGAGCCCGCCACAGCCTCGCCCTCACCGCCGACGGCAGCGTCTGGAGCTGGGGCAGTGGTCTCTACGGCAAGCTGGGCCACGGCGACGAGCAGAGCCAGCCGCTGCCGAAGAAGGTCGAGTTGGCTGGGCAGCGCATCATCGCTGTGTCGGCTGGAGGATACCACAGCCTCGCCCTCACCGCTGACGGCAGCATGTGGAGCTGGGGCAATGGAGGCCAAGGCCGGCTGGGCCACGGCGACGAGCAGACCCAGCCGCTGCCGAATAAGATCGAGGCCTTTGCTGGCCAGCGCGTCGTCGCTGTGTCGGCTGGAAGCGCGCACAGCCTCGCCCTCACCGCCGACGGCGCCGTCTGGAGCTGGGGCAGTGGACGCGAGGGCAAGTTGGGCCACGGCGACGAGCAGATCCAGCTGCTGCCCAAGAAGATCGAGGCCTTGGCTGGCCAGCGCACCGTCGCTGTGTCGGCTGGAGGCCACCACGCAATCGCCGTCACTGCCGACGGCGCCGTCTTCACGTGGGGCAAGGGCGAGAGCGGCTGCCTAGGCCACGGAGACGACCTGTCGAACCAGCTGCTGCCCAAGAAGGTCGAGATGTGGGCGCAGGGGCAGTGAGAAGCCTGCGCAGATGGACAAGGAGGGGATGCTCAGGCTTCTCGCGGAGCTCTCGACGAGGAGAGGATTCGGTTCGGCGTCACGGCGGGGCCGAGCCGGAGGGTGGGCGCGGCGGCGGTGGCGGCGGAGGCGGCGGGGGACGAGGCTGGTGTTGGCTGAGGCCGTCGCCGAGGTGGCGACCGCCGAGGCTGCGGCGGAGGCTGCTAGGGCGGGGGTGGAGGCGGCAACCGCCGAGGCCAATCGGTCGGCCGTGGCAGCTCAAGCTGATGCGGCCGCCGGGCTCGGCGTTCGCCCATACACGGAGGGAGGGGGCGCAGGAGCGGGGCAACAGGGAGTAGGCAGTAGCCCATGGGCCCCTTGAGAGACACCTTTAAGGCATACACACACTCGAGGCCGAAAAATAAAAGAAATTTTCGGGCCGGGGATTTGTTTTTCGTTGATGATGTTTTTCTTTTCCTCGCGATGTCCACCCCGCCGCGCCGCCGCTCGGGCCGCCTCGCCTCCGCCGCCGCCTCCGCCGCGCCCTTGCCAAGCACGCCGCCGCCCGCCCGCCTCCTCGACCTCCCCACGGAGCTCCTCGCGCGCGTCATCTCCCGTTGCGGCCCCGCCGACATCGCTCGCGTCGCGGCCGTCTCGCTTCTCTTCCACGCCTCGCTTGCGCTGGAGGGCATCCGCTTGTGGGCGCGAGAGCGCGGCTTCGAGCTGCCGGCGCAGCCAGAATACGAGATCTGCGCCGTGCGGTGGCTGTGCTATTCTGCGCTGCTGCGCGAGTCCAACCCGCCGGCGAGGGCTGCGGCAGGCGAGTCTCACAGCCTCTTCATCGACGGCGAGGGGCGGCTCTCGTCGTGCGGCTCAGAGCCGATGTTCACTCCAGGGCTGCTCGGGCACGGCGATGGCGTGGCGCGGCTGAACACGCCGACCCGCCTCCCTTCTCCGCTGGGCGGCGAGCGCGCCGTGAGCGTGACGGCGGGAGTTGCGCACAGCCTCGCCCTCACCGGCAGCGGCAGTGTCTGGAGCTGGGGCAGTGGAGGTGGGGGCATGCTGGGCCACGGCGACGAGCAGCACCAGCGGCAGCCGAATAAGATCGAGGCCTTTACCGGCCAGCGCGTCGTCGCCGTGTCAGCTGGCTTGGGTCACAGCGTCGCCCTCACCGCCGACGGCGCCGTTTGGAGCTGGGGCGGTGGAGGCTCTGGTCCCTTGGGCCACGGCGACGAGCAGAACCAGCTGCTGCCCAAGAAGCTCGCGGCGTTGGCGGGGCAGCGGACCATCGCTGTGTCGGCTGGAGCGCAGCACAGCCTCGCCCTCACCGCTGGCGGCGCCCTCTGGAGCTGGGGCCATGGCTACTCTGGCAAGCTGGGCCACGGCGACGAGCAGAACCAGCTGCTGCCGAAGAAGGTCGAGGCCTTAGCTGACCAGCGCACCGTCGCTGTCGCACCTGGATACTTCCACAGCCTCGCCCTCACCGCCGACGGCGCCGTCTGGAGCTGGGGCGAAGCAGCCCTTGGCAAGCTGGGCCACGGCGACCAGCAGAACCAACTGCTGCCCAAGAAGGTCGAGGCCTTTGCTGGCCAGAGCGTCGTCGCTGTGTCGGCTGGATGCGAACACAGCCTCGCCCTCACCGCCGACGGCGCCCTCTGGAGCTGGGGCTGGGGAGCCTATGGCCAGCTGGGCCACGGCGACGAGCAGGACCAGCTGCTGCCCAAGAAGGTCGAGGCCTTGGCTGACCAGCGCGTCGTCGCTGTCTCGGCGCGAGAGAACCACAGCCTCGCCCTCACCGTCGACGGCGCCGTCTTCACCTGGGGCAAGGGCGAGGACGGATGCCTAGGCCACGGAGACGACCTGTCGGACCAGCTGCTGCCCAAGAAGATCGAGGCGTGGGCGCCGGGGCAGTGAGAAGATTTCGCGCAGTTGGACAAGGAGGGGGATGCTCCGGCTTCTCGCGGCGCTCTCAACGAGGAGAGGATTCGGTTCGGCGTCACGGCGGGGCCGAGCCCAAGGGTGGGCGGGCGGCGGTGGCGGCGGAGGCGGCAGAGGACGAGGCTGGTGTCGGCTGAGGCCGTCGCCGAGGCGGCGACCGCCGAGGCTGCAGGGCGGCGGTGGAGGCGGCGACCGCCAAGGCCAATCGGTCGGCCGTGGCAGCTCGCTCTGATGCGGCGGCCGGCCTCGGCGTTCGCCGCGCTGATCGGCGACACTCTAGAGGGGCGCAGGCGCGGGGCGTCGCAACTGACTAAGGGGGGCGGTCGAATAAAGATTTTTCTTTTCGGCGTTGCCGAGTAGAGGCCTCCCCGCCACCCATACCCCCTCGCACGCCCCCCCCCCCGGGGGGGGGGGGCTCGCCGGGCCTCTGTTCCAAGAGGACTCGCGCGCAGGACTCGCTCTGAGTCCCTGCGACTTCCGGGCCAAGTCCCCGGTCAAGCTCCCCGGTCAAGAGCTGACCGTAACCCTAACCCTAACCCTAACAGCTCCGCCGCCACGCCATGCCAGAGAAGATCGTCGTCTGCCTCGACTGGACGCCCAACACGAACCACTCTGGCTTCTTCGTCGCCGCCGCGGACGGCCTCTACGAGCGTGCCGGCCTCGACGTCGAGCTGCGCAGCGCCGATGCAAACCACCAGCTCACGCCGGCGAGGCAGGTCGCGGCTGGCCAGGCTGACTTCGCGGTGGCGCCGTCGGAGAGTGCAATCTCCTTCTCGACGACCGATCGCGACGTACCGAGGCTCGTCGCCGTCGCCGCCCTGGTGCAGGGAGATACGTCCGCCATCGCCACGCTCGAGAGCTCCGGCATCGACCGGCCGGCCAAGCTCGCGGGCAAGCGCTACGCCTCGTACGACGGCCGCTTCGAGGACCCGATCGTGTCGCAGATGGTTTCAAACGACGGCGGCGACGGCTCGGCGGTCCAGTTCCACTCGCTCGACTCGCACGCGTACGCCGATGCCGACACCATGGGCGCCGGGTCGGTGGTGGCGTCGTACCTCGAGAAGGGGCGGAGCGACGCGACGTGGATCTTCCAGGCGTGGGAGGGCGTGCTGGCGGCGCGGGCGGGCCAGCGGCTGAACCTCTTCGAGCTCAGCGACTTTGACATCCCGTACGGCTACTCGCCCGTCCTGCTGGCGCACCCGAGCATGGCCACCGGGGAGCGGTGCGAGGAGACGCGCGCCTTCCTCGCGGCGACGGCGGCCGGTTACGCAAAGGCGGCCTCCGACCCAAAGGCGGCCGCCGCCGCGCTGTGCGCCTGCGGCCACCCCTCGCTCGCGGATCGCGCCTTTGTCGAGGCCTCCGCCGCCGCTCTCGCTGCAAAGTACCTCGCGGCGGATGGCCGCTGGGGCAGGATGGAGGAGGGGCGGTGGTCCGCCTTTGTCGACTTTCTGTCGCGGTCGGGCATCCTCGTCGACCGGCAAAAGGCGCCGATCGCGCGTGAGGCCGTCGATGTGGCGTCGCTCTTCACGAATGAGTTATTGCCGCGCTGAGAGAATCAGAGGCGCGCAGCGGCCAGCGCGACGCGCTCGCAGGCCTCAGGCGGTCACAGGCGACGCTGAGCCGCGCTGCCTACTTGCCTACACCCTCTGGGCCGTATGCCCGCGCGTAGGGTAGCCGTACATACTCTACTCGGCTCCAAGCGGGGCCATCCGCTGGTTGTCGTATAGTTTAATAGTACTAGAACAAATGTCCCTTGCATGGAACGACTCCGCACGATTGAGGACTGTTTTGAGATGAGACATGCAGGGTAGTGGGTACCGCCTCGTTCTCTCGCCTCAGACGCGCCTCTCCTGCTCCTCCGCCCGCCGCCGCGCCACCGCCTCCTCCACCTCTCGCTCGACCGCCGCCCGCGCCTCTGCCAGCCGCGCGCCCTCGGCCCTGGCCGCGGGATCGGCGGGTATCCCCACGTCCGGGTGGGAGCGCTGGGCCGCCGAGTGTGCGAGAGCCGCTCGCTCCACCGCAAGCTGCGCCGACGCCTTGTCAGCGGCGCCGCGCTCTTGCTCGAGGGCGACCTGAGAGCGGAGCGCGCTCGCCCGCTGCTGCTCGAGGGCGATATTCGCTTCGGCGATCGCCGTGCGCTGCGCCTCCAGGCTGCGTGTCGCAGAGGCGAGCTCAACCTCGAGCGCCGCGCCGTGCCGAGATTGGGTAGTGAGGGTCTCCTCGAGCGCCGCGCTCCGCCGCTCCGCTGCGTCCAGCCGCGAGCGCAGCTCGGCCACCTCCGAAAGAAGCGCCTCGCGCTGCCGCGTGGCCTCGCTCGCCACAGCTTCGGCCTCCGCCACCCGTTCCTCCATCACCGAGTCGTGCAGCGCAAAGGCTCCGTAGAGGAACTGGTCGTCGGACCCGAGGAGCGACGGGTGGGCTCGTCGAGCGGAGCGGTGCGCGGGCGAGCGGTGCGCGGGCGAGAAGAGGCCGCTCGAGGCGAGCAGCAGCATATAAACGCGTGTGTGTCGGCGGCGCACGGGCAAGTGGGTGTACCACGTTGCGAGAAAAGAATTTTGCCGAGAACAAGCCTGTTGCTGGTGATAGGGAACGCCGGCGAGCGCCGATTTGACTCTAACGATTTGCCGCCGATCACGCCGGTTCCCACATACCCGGTTCCCACATACGAGATACGTGCTGGCTGCTGCCGCAGCTCCACGCTCCATCTCGCGGATCAGAACCTTACCAACTGCCGCTGAAGCAGCGCTGAAGCGACCGCCCGCTGAAGCGACCGCGCGCTGAAGCGACCGCCCGCTGTGAAAAGCGACCGCCCGCTAAGCCTAAGGGCTAATACCGGCATATTATCGCATATTGCACACGCACACGCGCGCGCGGAGGGGGGGGCGAGTAGAGTAGGGGGCCGAATGAACAAACCTTACTCCTTACTGCTCGCGACAGCATGTAGCCTCGCACAAGCAGCTCCAGACAAGCAGCACCGCACGCGCGCACACAACCGGCGACGCTTATACTTCGGCAGACAATGAAGGCCAGAGTTGCTGTTCGAAGATGTCTGCTGCGTTGGCATTGCCTGCGGAAGCCGCAAGCTCCAGCCATGACTTGCAGCGACGTGCCAGGCGAGCCTTTGCGGTCGGATCCTCCGTTTGTTGCCATTTGACGTCGTAGAGCATGGCAGTGCACAGCATACCTACTGGCTCTCCTGCTTCGGCGGCTTCCTGGAAGAGCTCGCAGGCCTTCTCGCGATCTCGAGCTACGCCTGCGAGCCCATCCCACAAGGCTTTACCCCACTGGGCCCGACAGTACATGTCGCCCTGTGCAGCGCCGGTCTGCCACCAACGTTGTGCAGTTCTCTGTCCGTGCTCGCCCTCGCCCTCGAGACTGGCCGCGTAGTTGCGAATGCAGATGGGGAAGCCACGTGAAGCGCCGCGCCCCCACAGCTCGACCGCGAGCGCCACATGCCCGTGGTCATAGCATAGCTGCGCCGCGGCGCCGACACTTTCACTCGTGTCGCAAGCGGCCAGTCGCTCCGTAGCCTCCAGGAAGAGATCCTCGCTTCGCTCGAAGCCAAAATCGCCCGTTACATGACAGCGCGCGATACGTAGGAGCGCTGGAAAGGAGCTCTCAGCAGCGAGATGCTGCAATGCGCCAACAAAATCCGATCGAAAGAGCCTGGAGACAGCACGTAGCCGGGCCATGGGCAGTAGCTCCCCTTGTCTGCCACAGCTCTCCTGGCCGCGCAGGAGGCTGCACCGCGCCTCAAAGCTAAACGCCGTGGCGGCCATGATTCTCATTCGGCTGTCGGGGTCGAGGTGCTGCCAACCAGTCACGCAGAGCAGGTTGCCGAGGCGAACCAGGCGTGCTTTACCAGCACCCTTCAGCAGCACGGGCACTCTCAGGCTGCCATCCTTGCCCGCTTGAGGTGGCCCAGCCACTGTGCCAGTCACTCCGTTGAGATGAGCCGCGCCAACCAAGCCGTGCGCCCTCACGATCGTGCCGCTGGGCAGAGAGTGAGCAAGCTTCTGCTCCATTTTTGCGCGCCGCGCCAGCATTCGTGCGTGCTGCCTGCGTGCAGCCGCTTGCAGCAAAAGCGTGGCCGCCGTGAGAACAGCCTCACGCGCTGCCTCATGGCGAGCCGAAGCGTGCTGGGCGGCAAGCGCTGCCCGCGCAGCGGCCGCCTTGGCTTCCGACGCGGATGCGAGCAACACTGAGAAACGCATGTAATCTCGATATTAAAATATTCGTGCGCCAGGGCTAGGGCTCTCTAACCCCTAACCTTAAAATCCCTGTGTGGTGGCGGCGTGCCGTTCTCCCATCCCTCCCTTGGGTTGTCTGTTTTCTTTCTAACCCCTAACCCGATCCCGATCACCGGCGCCCCCGCTGGGTGCGCTTCTCACTCAGCTCCCCGGCCCTGGATGTGAGGTTACCGACTGCACTCCAAGTGCTCCAAGTGCGCTGCCGCCCTCCATCCGCCCTATCGGCCTTGCAGGTGATGACCCTCACCTCCAACGATGATAGGCTTTAATCGCGGCGGGACCACACGCTTTGCCTACCTTGGTGGCGTCCTCGGCCCCGCCCCTCACCTCTCCCGCCCCGCGGACCCGCAAAAACGTCTCGCGCGCGCGTGAACAGGGCTGAATTCGACCCCCCAAAGCTGTCCCCCCCCCCCCCCCCAAAAACGTACTTTAAACGACCATAAACTTCATTCTCCAGGGGCGCAAACTTTAAACCTCCATAAACATCATTTTGCAGGGGCTCCAGGCCCCAAATGACGTGTGGATGTTAGAGTGTTAGAGTTGTTTGAAATCGAGCTGCGCCCGCACTATTGCGTTCGTCACCTGCGAGGCAACCTTCGCCACCTTGGCCTTCCTCTCCCGCTCTGCCGCCGCCTCCGGGTCCTCGCGGCGGTCCGCGGCGGGTTGTCGCCGGCGTCGGCTGTCACGATCATGGCCGTGACGCCCTCGCCTGCCATGTCGAATCTCGGCCGATCGATCGCGCGTCCCAAAAGTCGCCAAAAGTCGCCAAAAGACGAAAAGTGGCGGCGCGTCGCAATCACCCGCCCGCCGTTTCGGCGGTCCCGCAGCTCGCGCGCATCTCCCTCTTTAAACCACCTGTAACATCACATTTAATGGTATTGCTAAAAATCTCTCTCTCGGACCCGCAGCCCTCCACCCATCCCGCATCCGCATCCCCCCCGACTAGGGAATTCGCCGGCCGAGATCCTCGCCGGGCGAGCCGATTTGACTCTAATTTGCCGCCGATCACGCCGGTTCCCACATACGTGCTGCCGCAGCTCCGCTCCATCTCGCTCGCGGATCAGACAGACAGAAAGAAACCTCGCGCGCGTGCTCGTGCTCATCTACAGCTGAGGCGCCGGCTCCGTTCGCACTGGCGCGGCCACTGCGATGGCAACCGCTGCCACAGCGGGCACGGCCTCGGCCTCAACGACGACCGCCTCCGCGCGTGTACGGGAGCACCCTCGAGCTTTCCATGCTGTGCCCGTGCGCCCCCTCGGCCGTCCCACAAGTCGTTTCGCGAAGCATTGATACCTCACGCAATGTCCGTCACAGCACTGCCGCCGCTCCCGCTCGACCGGGCATCGCCGGCGACGCGACTGCTGGAGAAGCGACGGCAGATGTTCGAGGTGCAAGAGGCGCTCGATTCGCAGGCGGAAGAGTCTCGCCGGCGCGAGCTCGTCTTTAAGCAGCGTGAGGAGGCGCTGCGCACCAAGGACCGCGAGCTGCAGGAGTCGCTGATCAAGTTCAACCGATTCCTGCAGGACAACGACGCGAAGCGTCACCGCGCCGAGAAGAAGGAACGCGAGGCCCACCGGCAGCGGGTCGCGCGTGAGGAGGAGATTGCGCAGCTCAGCTCGACGCTGCACGAGGAGCAGGCAAAGAGGGCAGAGAGGGACGGGGAGCTGCGAACAATGGCGCGCTACTCGGCCTTCATGCAAGCGTTCCAGCGCGCCCAGACAGAGTTCCCCGAGATCGACGACGTCCTCTCCCGCTACGACACGCTGCGTGCCGCGCACGACCACCTCGTCACCCGCTCGCGCGAGGCTGACGCAAAGGTTGAGGGGTCGCGCTCTCAGCTGCAGGCGGTGGTGCGAGAGACGAGCAACGAGGTGTGGCCACTCATACTGGCCCAATATCTCCCCAACTCTTGCTCCGCACCTCGCTCCTGACCGCCGGCTCCACGACCGATCCCGTGCCCACAGGTGCTCGCTCGCAACAACCGGATCGCGGAGCTGCAGCACGCCTCCGACAGCGCCGTCTCTGAGAGCCTCGCAGCTTCAGCGAGCGCGGAGCACGAGTGCGCGGCACTCGTAGATCGCAAGCTGCAAGCGGGACAGGTGGTGATGGCGTGCGAGTACATCTACGAGCGATGCGCAGACCGCTCTGCTGTACGGCAGGCCAAGGCAAAGAGGGCGGCCGCCCCGGACCCGTTGGCGGAGGCCTCCGTCTCTGACCTGCTGCGCAAGCTCAATTTTATCCGTGACTTTGCGCTCGACCTGACCGAGATTGTCCAGGAGGGTCGCAGCACCGCGGACTCGGCTGGGGGCGCGCCTGAATAGAATTTAAACAAAACAACTCTCTCTCACAGCAGACAGGCTCGACACTGGTGCGCGTGCGAGCCCCGCAGAGGTGCGGGCGAGAGGGCGGCCCGAGCCCGAAAGGGCCCGCCCTCGGCGTTGCTCTACATGGTAACGGATAAGAAGAGAAACACCCCCGGACTGGGACGCCGGCAGTCGAGTCGGGACACGCTGTGGTTCAGACGTCCCCCCCCTCGACGCAGTCGAGTCACTGACATGAATAGGGAGGAGAAAGTGTCCCCCACATATCACCACAGACGCAGCACAGGGGCTCCAATCCTGTCCCAGCCTGGGGGGGCCTCGCTAGATCTCCAGTGGGGAGTGCGAGGGCTGGATCGACTGCAGTGTGGGTTGTGGACCGTCGGGATAGCGTGTGGCGTAGATGTTCTCCTGGAAGTAGAGAGGCCGATGTCTCTCGCCCTGCAGGAAGGAGAAACTCGGATGGTTGAGTGAAAACTCCTCCCTGCGGTATGTGCGCTGAACGGGTTGCGCTATGTGCAGCACGGTGTTGAGGGCTCGGGAGGGCAACGACGGCGGCGTTGCCGAGCTCGTACAGGGGCCTCAATCCTGTCCCTGATGGGGTGCGCCTCTCGCCGCGCGCGTAGCAGTCGGCGCGCGGGTAGCCTCAGAGATGCGCAGAGCGAGATGCGGTTATCGGCGAACCAAGCCCTGGGCTTGGATAGGGCGCGGCGTAGCCGCGGCGCAGTGGATAGCGTGAAGAGCCCACTCACTGTCGTGAGCAGACCGCCGCTACCACGTGCGAGCCCCGCAGAGGTGCGGGCGAGAGGGCGGCCCGAGCCCGAAAGGGCCCGCCCTCGGCGTTGCTCTACATGGTAACGGATAAGAAGAGAAACACCCCCGGACTGGGACGCCGGCAGTCGAGTCGGGACACGCTGTGGTTCAGACGGTGCGAACTGGCGCGTGCTACAGTCTGTTGCGGGCATTAAGAAAACGTCGCATTAAGAAACCCTACCAAGCGATTTCCGCAAAAATCTAAGAAACCACGGCGCGCCGCAGGCGCGGCCCCAAGAAAGGGCCCACACACGAGTGTGAACAGGAGCCCCGCTCAAATTTTCTCTTCGCCTGCGGCGCGCGCACTTGTCATTTTGCCCAAGTCTGCGCACTGCGGTGTTCTGGGCGGTGACCGGTGTGGATGGGTGTGTGCGTCTTCCACTCTTCCTGTCATCCCAAGTGGGTGGCAGACTGCGGACTGGAGACATCCGGAGCGGTCCTACCAGCGCTTCCACGTTTTTAATTTTACCTAAAAATTCCTAGATCCCGGCTGACCTGGGGTGCCGGCCGAAGCTAAGAAACCACGGCATGGGGTGCTGTGTGGGGTGGGTGGAAAGGCTTAGAAACGGCGGCGGGCCGCGCGATCCTGTTTTCTTAATGCCCGCAACAGACTGTAGCACTATATCACAGGCACACCACCGGAGCCGCCTAAGCGACTCCGTTAAGAACGGCAATGCACTTAGCTCCGTGCACAATGCCGCTCTCCCCGCACGCTAGCTCGTTCACCGTCTGCCACGCCACGGCGGTGTGGAGAACGACGGACAAGCGCTGCATCTGCAGCCCGTGCCAGTTCTTGGTGGTCCATGTGACCTCATCGAGGTGCTGAGCGTGCGAAAGTTTGTTACTCAGCTGGTCCGCCATGAACAGAATTTAACAAAAACAACTCCCTCATGAATAGAACATCTGTCGACTGTTGGGATCAACTAGAGCTCTACGTGGACTGGGTAGACGAGCACCTTACAAGTGGTAGGCCAGGGGGCGCCCCTCGCAACTCCTGCGGGTGACCCAAACAGGCAGAACAACAACCAATGTCGGCCCGTCGTCGTCGTCAACCCCTTCCCAGACCCTCTCACCATCGAGTGTCTGAGTAAAGCAGCCGCCAGGTTCTAGTCCATCCACGCCTCATCTACATGGAGTAGCTCACCCGGGTCGTGGCAAGGGAGTGGGTTCGCGGAGGGCGTGCCGGCTGGGGGCATTCGATTGCACGCTCCGCCAACGCAGGCGCCCAGCACCTCCGTCGCGGGCAGGTAGCGGCGGACGATGGAGCGGCCAAAGGGCGTCGGATCGTCGCCTCCGACGTTGGCCATCTGGAACGGGTCGTCGGCCTCGCGGTAAACCTCGGACTGGTTGCTACACCACCAGTGGAAGGCCCACGCTGGCTGGCCCGTCGCGTGGTCGATCAGGCGGATGTTCCTCCACGTATTATCGTTGACATAGAACTCCGAGAAGGAGAAGTCACGCCACTCAGACAGCGCCGGTGGCGCGCTGCCGAGCGCGGCTTTGAACGAGAGGCCGTCGAGAGGGTGCGGCGCGTGCTTGGCTGCGCCTCCCAGCTCGGCGATGGTGGCGGTGATGTCGAGGTGTGTGGTGGGTAGCGGCCGCGTCTCGCCGCGCGGGAGACCCGGGCCGGCGACGTACATTGGCAGCCTGACGTCGGTGGCGTACGGCTTTGTCTTTCCGAAGAGCATGCGGTGCTCGCCGAGGTGGAAGCCGTTGTCCGAGGAGAAGAAGACGAATGTCGAGTCGGACAGCCGCATCTTGTCCAGCCCTTTGAGGATCACGCCGAGCATGTCGTCGAGGTCACGCGCCGCCGCGGCTGCGGGGGCAAGGGGGGTGGCTCGGGCGGGAGTGGCGGGTCGCGACCGGGGCGGGAGAGCCGCACTTCTGTTGCGGTAGACAAAGTCTTGCCGATCTGCCTCCCAGGCGTCGCAACAGCCCCTTGCGTGCAGCCCGTGGGGGTTGCCTTCGGCCGCGATGTGCTTCGGCACCGTACCGTTTGCAAAGGCCGCCCAGCTCGGCAGGTGCGGATTCCGGAGCGCGTTGTAGGACCATGCGTGCGTGCGGGTTGGGCAGGGGCTGCCGGTGAGGACCGTCCCCTTGCCCTCCCCATATGGCCCAACGGGTGTCGGGTCGTAGTTGTAGCGCTCCCAGTAGGGGTCCCAGAAGGCGTACTTTTCCTCCGGCTGGGGACCCTCACACGTGCCGCCGTGAACGGTCAGCGGAGTCACGTGAACAAAGAAGGGCCGCCTTTTGGCGACGGCAATCTCCACCTGCTCGAGGGTCTGCTCGCCCAGGTAGGCAGTTTGGTGCACGTTTCCCCAGATCTTTACCTGCTTCTCGCCGAGCAGCATCCCGGCGTCGTCAAAATTGGCTCGCCACTGACTCGCATTCAAGTAGTTGTAGGTGCCGCCCAGCCTCTCGCCGTGCAGGCGCGTGCAGGTGAGCCCACCCCAGTGGTGCCATCCTGCGGGGACGTCGCACTCCATGCCGTTGATGTACTTGCCGAGGAATGCGGTGTGGTACCCAGCGCGCTGCATCCACCGCCCTAGCGTGTCATTCTGCAGCTTTGACCAGGCAGCCACGCTCGGCGCCCGGGCGTTGGCGACATAGCCCACGTTGTGCGGGTAGCGGCCGGCGAGGAGGCTTGTGCGCGAGGGACCGCACACCGGCACGACAGCCACGTGGTTGACAAACTCGAGCCCGCCGTCGGCGAGCCGCTCCCTCAGGTGCGGCATGATGGCCTTGCGATCTTGCTTGTAGTCAAAGTCGAGGTCGTCGGCGAGCACAAAGAGGATGTTGGGCGCACGGGCCACGACCGCGGGCAGGAGGAGGAGGGCGAAGGGCACACACGGCATGGCACTGTTGGACCGGTTGTGCTGTGCTCGTCGCAGCGGCCACTACCTCACGCGTCGCAGCAAGAGGCGTGTTGCCGATACTTTGCAACTGTGTGAATTTTTTCTCTTTCTCTCAACTGTGTACGCCGACTCAGGGTGTGTGGCAGCCAGCTGGCTGGGTGTCTTGTGAGCTTGTTTGTGTCTGTGTGTCGCTCGTGCGTGTCGTCATCATCTGTCCAGCGTCCACCCATACCGCGTTGGTGTCCAGTCCGAGCCTGGCTGTTCTTCACCTTACTACCTACCTACCTACCTCTCAACTGTATCAAAGCGCGATTCCCAACTTTGTTGAAGGAGGTCGACCCATCTCGTCTGAGCGCGCGAATCTCTTCGCCAGTCCACACACACTCCCCGAGTTCGAATTCCTCTCGAACACGGAGACACGCCGAGATTTCCCGCACCGGCCGACTTATTGCCGTTAGAACTTCAAGTTCAAAAAGGAAGGCTGTCTTAGCGCGCGAATCTCTTCGCCAGAAAGAAAGAAAGAAAACAGACACGCCAAACGAGGGATGGGACGAGGACAGGGTCCCCACCTGCACGAGCAGGATTTTGGAAGGACGATCAGGGGGACAGGGTGGGGCTCTCCTGCTCCTGACAAGGGACACGACAGGCTCGCAGCGCGGTGCGCGGTGGACTCCCACATCCACTGGCGGTCTCATCTCAGTCTAGCGACCTGCCTCCAGCTTGTCGCTGGCAGCAGTCTCTCCACAGGCACACTGACACAGGGGTGGCAGGGGCGGCGGCACGAGTCTCCCACATACTATGCGGGCCTCACTAGAGGTGCGGCCTGTGCGTGTCCTCGCCCTTGAGGGAGGAGGGGAAGAGGCTGTGTGTCTGTGCATGCATGTGTGTGTGTGTGTATGTGTGTGTGTGTGTGTGTGTGTGTGCTTCGCCAGTCCACGCCCACTACACCTCTTCGAATTCTTTGACCCACCGAGACACGCCGAGATTCCCGAACCGGCCGACTCTGCTGACTCTGACGGCGGCCCAAAATAGCGAACGGTTGGAATCCATGGCAGTATCTCCTGTTGGCCCTCGCCGCTCGCCAATTCTCCCTCGCCGCTCGCCGATGGGGGCGCGCCGCGTTGTCGGACCACCCAAAGAGCATGGACCACTCGCACCAAAGGTCGGGCAACTCGGCAGCCGAAGAAGCCGCCAGCGCACGTCTACCGTTTCCCCGGAGCTGCTGCTGTCTGTGCGCAGCGAACTGCTCGCAAAAGGCGAGCTGTCTCCTCAGGACAAGGAGCTCTGCGCCTGGGCCGGAGGAGAGGTGTTTGTCCCATGGGAGGCGGATCTCTCGCCCGGCTCGGAGTTGTCTTCGAGTGACCTCTCGTTTGGCCTCTGAACCCTCGCCTCACACAACTCATCGTTGTATGTTTTGAGAGACCCGCTGCTGTCTATTATATTTGTTTACGTGCAAAGAAAACTCGCCTCACGGGTGCAGGCAGAGGCTGCGACACAACGTCACTGGCACTCCGTACTGGGTACTGGCAGTGCGACCCTCTGGCTCTGCGCCCTGTGCCGTCTCACGATGAGGTCCTCCGCCACCGCACGGACACGGTGGAGAAGTCCAGCAGCCCGCCAGCAGGAGCGTGTCAACACCATGCGAGTCGAGCTCTGAACGGAGGGTCTGTGGGGGACATGTCTGGCGGTGGCGCGGCACTCAGAGCGCCCGTTGCGGCATGGCGGCGAGACCACATAGTGGGTGAGCAGTGAACACTGCCTCGTGCACGATGGTGCCTCCCTTCCATCCCTTGCCTGATGCATCGTAGCGGGGATTGCCGTGCGAGAATTCCCGTGCGAGCGCAGCGCCCCCACGGACGGGCAAACTACTCGAACTCGTCGGTGGAACGGTGGGTGACAGGGTGAGGTGCGCCATGAATAGCGGGATACATCGACGCCATCCCTTCAGACAAAGAGCCACGACAAGAGCGGCTCCAATGTTTAGACGGGGTCTGAAAGAGTCAAGGAAGGGACAAGGCTAAGTGTAAAGTGATTGATGGGTGCGACCAGACACCAGAGGGATACGGCCTCGCGGTGTTTTGTTTTGTCGCCGCGGTGGGGGGGGGGGGAGAGAGAGAGATTTAGCAATACCAAACAATTTTAACACTCACACTTTGCCCCTGTTCACGCGCGTGCAACAGGCACAGAACCTGTGCTCGAGCTCGCCGGCGCCAAGGCGCCCCCCACTCGCCTTCGCCAAGCGCCGGCGCCGGCCAGCCCTGGCATCAGGGCGATGAAGAAGGGTTTCCTCACGCCCTCCAAGGCGCCCTCTCCGCTTTCGCCGGCGACTGCGCAGCGCACCCGCCGTGCCGCCGCGCCCGCCGCGCATGGCCTCGCCGCGCATGGCGGCCTCGCCGCGCTGGCGTCGCTCGACGAGACGTCCGAGGCACTGCGCGAGCGCGGCTATGCGACCCTCCGTCTGAGCGCTGACGAAGCGGAGGTGCTGGCAGAGGCGGAGCGCGCCGCCGGCGCCGCACTCGGCGAGGCTGGCAAGAGCCTCCTCTCCGTCAGGACGGTGGTCCGCCCCTCCGGCGCAAAGCGCGTCCTCACCGTCGGCCGCTCTCCGCTGCACACCGCCGAGTCTCTGCTGCGCGGCGCGGCGGACGCGGCGCTCGACGGCGTCAGCGCCCTCCTCGATCTCCCAGCGGGCCGGCTGCGCGCACTCGCCGGCGACCACAGCGAGACTACCCTCTCTGCGATGCAGTACGAGGCGGCGGGCGGAGCCTGCGAGGCGCACGAGGACCGAGGGCTCCTCACCCTCGTCGCGGGCAGGGAGGCGCTGCGCACGCTCGAGGTGTACGACCGCGTCACCCGCTCGTGGGTCGCCCCGCGGCCGCCTCCAGCCGCGCCACCCTCCCCCTCATCCTCCTCCTCCTCCTCACCCCCCTCCTCCTCCGGAGAGGACGCGTGGGTGCTCCTCTTTGCGGGAGCGACCCTCTTCCGCGCGACGGCGGGGCTGGTGCCGCAATCGGCCGACGCGGAGACCATCGGGGCGACGCTTCACCGCGTGGTTGCGCCCGCCTCGGCCGCCGCGGGCGGTGCTGCGGCCGCTGCTGCTGCTGAGCGGTTCGGTGGGCGGCTCAGCCTCGTCCTGCGCGTGCGCGCCACGCCGTCCGCAGCCTTTGACTGCGCGGCGCTCCGCGGCCGGCCCGGGGCCGTCCCTCGCTTCGTGAGCGCCCAGGAGAGCGTCGCGGAGCACCTGGCGAGCAAGAACTACGTCTCCGTCAACGAGTCGACGACGGGCGTGCCGCCGCCGCCCTCCTCCGGCTCTGCGCCGCCGCCGCTTGACGACCCCCGTTTCGGCGCGCTCGTCGAGCGCTGCTACGACGCGGCGGCCGAGCGATGTGCGCGCGCCGGGGCCGTCAGCGCCGCTCAACTCGACGGGCTCACGGACGTGGTCGCGCGGTTCAGCGACCCGCCGTCGCGGGCGCGCTGCCTGCTCGGCCAGCTGCAGGGCCTCGAGATGCTGCTGGTGCATGAGGAGGGGATCCGCGCAAAGGCGGCGCCGGGGGAGGGGCGGGCGACGTGCGGCGATGCTGCAGCAGGGGCTCTCAGCGACCGGCGAGAGCTCGCCGCCGCCCTCGCCGACGCCCCCGAGCTGAGCGCCTCGTGCGCGATGCTGCGTGAGCTGCTGCGGCGGCCGCAGGGAGAGGAGCCGGCGGCCGACGAGGCGGCGGACGTCGTTTCTCAGCCTTCGGAGGCTTCGGAGTATGAGGAGGCCGAGGAGGACGACGACGACGGGAAGGAGGAGGAGCAGGAGTCCGCCCCCCTGGCCCCCTTGCAGCTGATGCGCGTCACCGTTCCTCCGAACGTGCACGCGGGCGAGCAGATGGTGGTGCTGACTCCGACGGGGCAGCAGTACATGGTTGTGATCCCGCAGGGCGCCGGCCCCAACTCGCACTTCCAGATCGCAGTGCCGCGACCGCCAACACCGGAGGAGGCGGACGAGGTGGACCCGGGGGACGAGGAGGACGACGACGACGAGGAGAGGTTCAGCTCGGAGATGCCTCGGCGGGAGCGGGAGCGCGAGCTAGCCGCCCGACTGGCGGAAGCGCGAGCGAGACAGGCCGATGCGCGCGAGAGGGAGGAGCGGGCGGCGCGGGAGCGCGAGGCAGAGGCGGCCCGCCGCCGCCGTGTCATCCGCGAGCGCATCGACGCCACCCGCGCCATCCTCACCGAGCAGCTCGAGCCGGACGCCGCCGACCTCGTGGTCCGCAATGCCGCCGCGCAGCAGCTGCAGGCTGCCGCCCGCGGCTATGCCGTCCGCAAGCGCGGGTGGCCTTGGTCCCGGATCAGGCTAACCGTGGTCGATCAGGAGGGCATCGAGATCTTCTTCACGTTGAAGCGGCGCACGCGTCTGGGCAAGCTGATGAGCGCATATTGCCAGCGGCAGGGGCTAGCCACCCAAGGTGTGCGGTTCCTCTTTGACGGGGAGCGGCTCAACGCATACCATACGCCGGTGGAGATGGACATGGAGGACGGCGACATCATCGACGTGATGCGGGAGCAGCTTGGGGACTGAGGTCTGATGCGGGAGCAGCTTGGGGACTGAGGTCTGAGCAGGTGTTTTAGCCGTCGTGTCGAACTGTGCGGCGTGAGATCGGAGGAGGACCGGTGCCGGTGACATATTGTCTCGCTGCTCACCCATGTGCTCGCCGCGCCACGAGTGGAGACTGCACGACTCTGAGTGTGGGGAGACTCAAGAGACTCTATAGGAGTCTAGAGACTGTGTGCGGAAAAACCATTCTCAGAGTGTAGTAACTCTGGGGTGTTCAAGCGCGGGAGAGTGTTTTTCTATTTTTTGCAAGACCGTCGGACTGAGAGTGCAATAGAGCTGCCGACATATCGTCATCGACTGCGGTTGAATCTTGTATGTGCTACGGCTCGATCGACGGAGCACGGAGGGCGGCGGCCGGTTGTGGCTTGTGCAAATCTCTATCATGACAACGACACCCTCTGCCGACTGCCGTCCCTCCGCTCCGCGCCCGTCGCGCGAGCGGCGCTCGAGAAAGCGCTCGCAGGGCGCTCGAGTAGGGGTCACAGTGGGTGGCACCCGCCGGGGCCTCAGGCCTGCAGCGTGCCGGCGGAGAGGAAGGTCGCCTTGACGGTGTTGCCGTCGAAGTCGCGCCCGTTGAGCGCCTCGAAGGCCTTGACGGCGGAGGCGATCTGCTCGTACTTGAGGTACGCGTTGCCTAGTCTCGGCTCACCTCGGGTGAGCTCGGGTCCTCTCGGGTCCCTCTCCTGCTTGCGGCTCGCGGGGGAAAGTTGCGTTGCTTTCCGTCGCCCGGCTCTCCCTCGCCCCTCCCTCTCCCTCGGCTCTCTCTCGGCTACCCCTCGCCCGCGTCGGGCTCGCCCTCCTTCGGGCACGAGAAGTGCAGCAGCTTGCCGTGCTCCTCGCACGCGGAACGGATGTCCTGACGCGGCACAGTCGAACACACGTCATCGGACGCGTCCTGCGCGTGTCGCCGCCCCCTCGCACGCAGCCGGAGCTGCCTCGACGCACTCGGCGTACTCCGCGGCGTCGGCCAACACGGCGGCGGACAAGATCCCGCCCAGGGAGATCTCGTGCGTTGGCCTACAAGCGGGCAGCGGCAGGACGCGTCACGACGCCTCGAGCCCTCTGCCGTGCGGCTGCCGGGGGGGGGGGGGGGGGGGATGGGGGGGGGTTGGCACCCCGCAGGCCGCGCGATCTTCATCTCGCGCCCGCAGAGCTCCATCCCGTTGAAGAGATTGAGCGCCGTGGTGCAGAGCTCCTCGGAGGCAAACTCGATGAAGGCGAACTTTCCGTTCGGGTCGACGCGCGCCTACGCACCAGACCGCCCCCCCCTCTCTTCTCGCCAACGCCGCCCTCCTTCTCCCCTAGCGCGCGGGCTCGACGCGCCTCGAGGACGGGCGGCAGCTGGCTGGCCGCCTGAAGGACATGTCCCGGACATGTCAAAGACGTGTCTGGGACGTGTCCGCGCCTCGAGCCGCAGCAAGCGAGCAGCGGGCCGACGCCTGCTCTGGCAGGGTCGACAGGGGGACCGTGAAGAGCTCCTGTTCACAGCTGGAGGTGTGAAGAGACGCCGTTCACAGCTGGACGGGGGGGGGCGTGAAGAGCTCCTTGAGCATCACCGGTGTGACTGCGCCGACGGCCAGGTTGCCAATGTAGAGCTCTCGCTGCTTCTTCGTGTCTTGCGTGACGCCGGCAGCGACGCGGTCGCCGACGATGCCGCCGGTCAGCCCGAACCGCTCGAGAAGGGCCTGGATGGCAATCAATGGCAACCAGTGGGGTCCCCCTCCTCCCGGATCGTCACAGCTGGTGGCCGGGCAGGGCGGCGCGAGAGCGCCGGAATGAGAATCGATGGTCCCTCAGAGAAGGCTTCCTCACAGCTAGCGGCCGGTGAGAGGGCGCGAGGAGGGCCGTAGGCGGCTTGAGCTGCTGCTGCGCGCTAGGAAGTGTCTGAGAAGGGTCTAGGAAGTGTCGGGGGTGGGAGTGTGTAGGAAGTGTCTGGGAAGTGTCTAGGAGGGCCTTCGGAGGCTTGAGCTGCTGCACGGGCGTCATGGGCGGGATGTAGCCGTTGGGGTGGCCGATCTTGAGCTGCCTGAGAGGGGGGGGGGGGGGGGAAAAAAGGGAAAAGGGGGGGTGTAAATAAATTTTTTTTTTGGGGGGGGGGATATAAAAGGGGGGGGGGAAA